ATTTATAGCCAGTCTTCAAGTATGCCCACTGACTATATGTGCAAACTGAAACTTGGGAATTTTTCTCGCTGGTACACCTGTCTTTCCTTATAATGTCGGTATAGGAATATGAAAATCGATCAGATTACATTTGGAAGTTAATTCGGTATATTAATTAAAATCGGTATACTTCAAATGGGAAACGGGAACTACCTTATTGGGTTAAATTTACATTTTAATCGATACGTATCTACTGAAATGAAGATTTCCAGCAGCTTTTCTCGCTACTTTGATGGGGCACACCGACGTTCCAGTATGAAAGTTTTTAGCGGCGTGGGCAATTGTAACTTCGCTTATATTCCATACTTTTATTTCGAGCTTACGTTGAAATTATACTTCAAATTCAAAGTATCCAGACTCGCAAACTATACGAGAGTCAATTTCATTTCTTCTGTAATCTGATCACATTCGGTGAAATTATTGTGTATACATTATTATTATTAGTGGTCGTGGCTTCGTTTGTCCTAATTGGATTATTTGACCTTATTTGTGTACCTTCAAGGACAGGTAGCCAGATTGCTTCTTTTTTTCTATTGAAATAATTCCTGTGTTTTTGAATTTCTATTTCCTCTCTATATACTCTTAGATGATAATTTTGAGTTGTATCGAGTATTACTGTATCACTGAATGGGTTAATGTGAGTGTCTTTATTGTTGAGAGCATGTTCAGCTACCGCTCATTTCTCAGGTTGTCCAAGTCAACAATTTCTCTTGTGTTCAGAGAGACGGGTACCTATACTTCTTTTCGTGGTTCCAATGTAGACCCGCCCGCAGCTACAAGAAAACCTTTATATTCGGGTGTTGCTTAAGGTTCTATCGGGTCCTTAGCTGACCTTAGACTCTGTCTGATAGTTCTTGTTGGCCTACATATGGGTTTCACGTAGTGTTTCTCTTAGATTCTTCCAATCTGGTCAGTAGCATTGTTAACATATGGAAGGAAAGCTTTTCTCTTGACCACTTTTTGATTAATGAAACGAGGTTTTTCATTGTCATCTCTTTTGTCAAATGAAAATCACAATTTTATTAACATGTTTGCTATTGAAAACAACCCAAATGTTTTTTTTTTAATTTTATCGTCGAAATCCTAAATGATCACATTTTTGAAGACTAACCCACAACATTTTCCCAATAAAAACAAAAATTTTCTTGTTTTTCCCCCTCCTAGTTACCCCAACCTCCAAGTCCACCCCAAATGACATAACCCAACAAGACAACCCAACCATCAAGTCCATCCTAAAACAGTGATGGTGTTCTTTCCCAACCTCCAAGTCGCCACCCTAACCTCCAAGTCAACCCCAAATGGCCTAATCCAACAAGTCACCACCCCAACCCCCAAGTCCATCTACCCCAACTAACCCAACCGAAAGCCACCCTACCCTCCTCCTCCTCCTCCTCCTCCTCCCCAGTCTCTGTCCAAACCAAAACCTAACCTATACTTACCTAACATAACCTATACTAACCCAACCTAACCTAAACTAATCCAATACCGCTATTTTACATCAGATGGCGGCGCTACGATCGAATAATAATTATGCAACATCATTTCAGATGGCGCCATCTGTATTTTTCCATTTTCCACTCTAAAATGCCACACCCAAATTCACCTATATCAGGTCCACTCAAATTCTTCTGCACTGTATCCATTCCCTTTCAAGGCATTCTTTAGATGATTGCGTTCCTCAGGAAGACTCTTAGGTTCATAGATACGTTGTGCTTCCTCAACAAACATTTCAACTACACCTCTCTTCTGTTGTCGCTGGTGGTTAGAGTTTTTGTTCAGGGATCTGTCTGTGTGTGTAGGTTTCTTCTACTCTCTGTATAACAATTTTCATGTCTGTTCACAAGAACATCCAAGATGGCTACAGTCCCTTGGATTTCAACTTCCATTGTGAATTAGATTCTTGTGTCGAGAAGATTCAGACGTGATAGAAAATTCTTCAGTGTATATTTCCCATCTTGCCATATCACGAATGTGTCAAGTAATTACCAGCAAATTCATCCAAATTTTTGTCCCATTCACGAAGAACAACCTTCATGAACGACATAAAAGACTACATCTATGATTTGAAAAAAAATAATATTGACATATTTATAGGTGACATAAACATTAATTTGATGGATGAAAATTCCGGTTCTGTTAATGAATACCTCAACATCCTTGCTGAAAATGGTTACTTCTCCTATATCAATAAGCCAACCAGGGTTACGTCTCATACACAAAGCATAATAGATCATATTTTCGTTCGTAAAAATAATGCGAACCATAATATACTATTGAGCTCGGCATTATTCAAAATCGATATCACCGACCACTACCCAGTATACTTGGAAATATCAGGAAAAATGAAATCACCTGCTGAAAATTAAAATGAATCAAATACATTTGCAAAAAATATAAATTTTAATAAATTACACAAATCATTGAAAGGGGAAAAATGGGAAGAAGTGATGAAGATTAATGAAATACAGGTTTGTTATGACAAATTTATTGAAAAACTTGAATTCCATTTGGGAACAGCATCATATTCATATAATACTCAATATAAAAAATATGAAAAAAATTAAACCATGGATCACTACTGACCTGATTATCGCAATACGACAAAGGAATCACCTGAAAAAGGAATTATTAGTTAAATATATCCCAGAAAGGGAAAATGAATATAAATCACACAGAAATCGATTGAATAATATTATAAAGTTGACAAAAAATCAATATTAAGTACAATAAATGAAAATTGTAAAAAACGTGGGGACTTGTAAATGAAATAACTGAAAAAAACTCATTAATGAAAACAAAAGTCGGTAATATAACGTTCATGAATCAAAACGGAAAACCAATTTCTGATAAAAAAGATAATCCTAATAATTTTAACAATTACTTCACTAATATTGGAACTGAAATGGCAAAAAACATTAAAAAAACAGAAAACTTACCTGATCATTTCCTCAAAAACACCATGCAACAAGAATCCATGTTTCTGAAACCAGTAACACAAAATGAGCTGATTGAAATTATATTCAAGCTAAAAACCAACTGTTCATCTGGTCCTGATGACATTTCCTCGAAACTCATGAAGAATATTCATTTATTCGTTATATCTTCATTCATGATGAATTTGATCTATAAAAATGGTAAACTATCACACCAATTTAAAGAGTCAATCGTTACCCCCATATATAAAACAGGTAAGCGTGATGACATTGGAAACTATAGACCAATATCGGTTATCAATAATTTTGCTAGAATATTTGAACAATCCTTAAAAAGTAGACTTGTAAATTATCTCGATGCAAAAAAAATACTAACAGACAGACAGTTTGGTTTCATTAGCAATTCCAATACCGAAAAAGCAGTACTAGATTTTGTACAAAACATAATTGGAGCATAGGATAGATCAGAAAAATGTTTAGCTATATTTACAATATTTTGGAAGACTATCTATCACATAGGTCACAAAAGGTCAAAGTTGATAATAGTCTGAGTGAAGCGATAAAAGTTAAAACAGGAGTACCACAGGGAACAGTTTTAGGTCCCATACTATTTCTTGTTTACGTTAATAGTATCTGTTCCATCAACAATTTTGGAGGTCATCTCATATCATATGCGGACAATACAGCACTCATATTCACAGGTAGTATTTGGAAGAAGGTATTTGAAAAATCAGAAAAGGGACTGAAAGATATCCAGATATGGCTTGATCACAACCTTCTGAGTCTGAATGTGGAAAAAACTAAATGTATTACATTCACCCTATTACAGAAAGATCAACCTGAAAATAACATAATCCATATACACGACAGAGACTGTACTAATACAACAAATTGCAATTGTGCTGTTATAGAAAAAACGAAAATGATTAACTGTCTGGGAGTTATAGTGGATCGACATATGAGGTGTGATGACCACATAAACTATGTTGTAAAACGGCTCAGACTTTTGACAAAAATATTCTATGAATTGAGAAACATTCTGGAATACAAAAATTTGATCACCATATACCAGTATTTATCAAAATCTGTAATAAGGTACTGTATTGTTGCCTGGGGTGGTACATTCAACAATTCTCTCAATACCCTCCAAATATCTCAAAATACAATCTTGAAAATATTATTCAAAAAACATAAAATATACTCTACCGAATGTCTGTATAGGAAAATGTAATTACTGAAAACAAGACAACTCTAGATCCACCAATGTTCAACTTGGGTGTACACAAACAAACTCACACTTCAATCAACAAACAAAGAAAAACAAACAATATTCGTTACTAGTTCTTCCATAAACATACCAACATTTAATAAAAGTCACACACAGAGATGTATTTTCTATCACAGTCCAAAATTATTCAATCTTCTGCCAGTTAACATAAGAAACAATTCCAATCTCAATACATTCAAAAAATCAATCAAAACATTCATTATGTTCAATACCGAACTTCTCGATTTATTCGGCTAAACGTAAACGATGTCCAGCAAGCTCTTTATCATTCCCAATGATCATGAATTCTGTAAATTAATTAATCGAAATGTGTGTATATAGATATAAGACAGTTAATTTGCATATAATTGAAGTAACTTTAGTTACTTAGGTGCATCCATCCTCACACTGAGGGTAATCAAACTGTATTTGTGAACTGTAAAAACTTAAAAAATTATAACCTATAAATAAATCTTGAAATCTTAAAAAATAGGTCGGAACTCGTGCCAGATGGCGATTAACGAGGTCTCACCTTCCAACGTGCGATTTCTAACACGGCACGTACTTTTCTGAATGTGATCAAAAATCATGAAAGTTCCAGATGTGACGCTTTCATTTTTGTACTGAAATAATCTTCATCATTCGTTGTTTTTTTTGTCATCGCCAATACCTTCCACTATTCCATTGAACCGTCACATTCAGTCGTGTACCGAAATCGTCACCCGCATGAATCAATATTTAGAAAGTAATTATTGTTACAGTTCCACCAATGTTATGGATTCCTCATCAGCTGGTCGGCGCTCCACTAGCGTATTCCGTAACTCTGGAATGCTTCACAGAGGCCCATCCAAGTTCGCTGAACTACTGGACCCGCGAGGATGGGCAAATGATCCATGAATCGAGAAAATACCGAGCAGAAAATATTATCGGCAATCCCACGTATAAAACGCATATGAGGCTGACTATCAATAATATACAGCAGAGCGATTATGGAACTTATAAATGTGTGGCAAAGAATCCCCGTGGTGAGACTGACGGCTCCATCCGTTTGTACAGTAAGTATCATATTCAGTTAAAGTGACTCTCCGTTGATTTTATTGCTGTAGATTTATGGATGTTATTCGTATTGTGGTTGATTTAATTTCATCGATACATATAACATGGGCTGGAAAGTCCTGGGCCTAAGAAAGAAAACAAGTTTATTTTATGCCATCATCTCAGATGGTATTATCAAGACGAGTTACTGCTTCGCTTCGAGAGGTGTAACTGATGTTAGGTTCTTCTTGTGGTGTTTTTTTATGGTTTCGCTTGCGTAAGTTGTATGGATTTGTTACCTGTTTTTCCACCTGAGGGTTGTTGATGGCTTTTGGCAGTTCCCCTACCTGTTTTTCTACCTGAGGGTTGTTAATGGCTTCTGGCGGTTCTCCTACCTGCGATGGTTCATTATCAATTTGTGGTTGTCTTTGGTGGTTGTTTTTAATTATTGTTTTCCAAATCCTTGGGATGTTTAGTNGAAATCGAAAAGCAAGGCCTCATCAACAAAAGGGATGACTCAGTAAACATCCCAAGGATTTGGAAAACAATAATTTAAAACAACCACCAAAGACAACCACAAATTGATAATGAACCATCGCAGGTAGGAGAATCGCCAGAAGCCATTAACAACCCTCAGGTAGAAAAACAGGTAGAAGAACTGCCAAAAGCCATCAACAACCCCCAGGTGGAAAAACAGGTAACAAATCCATACAACTTACGCAAGCGAAACCATATAAAAACACCACAAGAAGAACCTAACATCAGTTACACCTCTCGAAGCGAAGCAGTAAGTCACTATTTTGGGTTGGCTTATTTCACTATTTAAGTTCCATTGATTCTATTCTAACAAAATATTCCTTCACATTCATCACACTGATTGAAGATATACTTAGTAATCCATTAGTTCAGCAACTGAGATGGCTGGTTTTCATCAGTTGATTCGATAAAACTTTCAAATCCAACGTTTTGTCTGATACTCATCAGTTCCTCTCGTAAATAGCCAAGCGAGTACTGAGTTGCGACACGTACATAAATTTACAACAAGCTGAAAACGCGTGTAGTTGTTCAAAACATAAGATTTTAAAATTCCGAATGATTGCGATGCCTGAAAAAAAATTTATTCGAGTTCAATATTCGTTTTTGTTGTCACGCTAAAAAATAATGGATCGCCCGGTACAATATTCTTCAGATATTCGAATCATACTGCGCAATATTCTTTGTCCTTCGGTTGCAAAACACAACGTATTTTTCTCAAAGATACAACCGGACCTCACGATGAAAAAGTTCGACATACGTCCTAAGCCCAGCTCAATCTTATGTCGAAAGGAGTTTAATACAAACTGTTGAAGGATTTATTTGAGTGAGAGTCGATTTCTCTGACGGACAGGAAAATGTCCAGGCGTCTAGCTGAAGGGGCAGACTTGACAAATGGAAGTCTCGTGTATGTCCCGGCAGGGTATTTAGTAATTTGAATGATTCCTTCTTGAACACCATCTGGATCCGAAATGGGATTGCTAGATGATTATCTGCTATTCGGATGCCACCGGATTTGCGGATAGATTTTCGAATGTAATGAAAGAATTTTCGAATGGGATTCGGAAGTGTTTGTGCCATGATAAAATGGGTATTTGCCCACATAATATGGATTTCTAGAACGTATTGACAAAAAAGAAAACGAAATCAGGTATTGAAATTATCTGTGAAGCAATAAATTGGGGTTTCCATAATTAGTTGCAACTTTTACATTTTTTTGCTCGAGTAGCGAGGTACTGAATCATGTTCAAGTTGTTTCCATAGTCGTACATAATCGAGTCGGTTAGAAAGTGAAAAATATGGTGTTTGTTTCCAACATTCAATGTTGTTGTATAACAAACTTCATAAGACATTTTATAGTTGTATACATAACTATACATAACTACAGACCAGTCGCTATATATATACTCCGCCTATTCACCATATACTGGAAGTTTTTTTCCTTGTTTTTGTTAATTGTTCCTGTATAATGTTTTGCTTTATTTTTGTCCATTCCATTTGTATTTTTATGGTGAAAAAAGACGTATTGATTTTTTTTTTTCCTCGTGCAGTGTCGAAAACTATACAGAGTTCATCAGCTGCTCGGGCAGCTGTTCTAAAGAGAAATGCTCCAATTTCTGCTCTCTCATGGTTACGGACCATGCAGAGAAGCGGATCCGAACACCTGACGACTTTACAGGCTCTATACAGCACCATTCTGTCATGTAGACACTCCAAACTCAAAAGTCCACGGCTTCCCTGTTGTCGGGAGAAATACAACCGTAGAACAGACGATTTGGAATGCAAACTCCTATTGAGATGCATCATTTTTCGAGTCTTTACGTCTAGTTGATACAGCTCCTCCCGAGTCCACTTCACTACTCCAAACGAGTAGAGTAAGATTGGAACAGCAAGCATATTTGTTGCAGCAACTTTGTTCTTCTCCAACAGTTCCGATGACCAGATCTGTCGAAGTTTGTGCTGATACTTGCCGCGGAGAGAGTTTTTCACTGTTGTTACCTCTTGTGAGTGGCGTTGTTCCACCCCGAGGTAAGTATACGTCTCTCCGGCATCCATCTACGAGCTGCATACCCTCTCCGTAGTCCCAGCATCGTCCTCTTTCGAGATGGACCATTGCACATTTGTCTATCTCGAATTTCATTCCGATAGCATACGTGTACTCTTCCACCACCCTCAAGGACTGATGGAGATCCTTCTCTCCAAAGGCATAAATTTCAAGATCATCCATATAAAACAAATTGGTGACCTTGTGCCTCCGGTTTCCGGGGGTGCCACAGTTATACCCTCAAGTGTTTCTGAGCGCAACGGATAATGGCAATAGTGAGATGCAGAAAAGAAGGGGACTGAGGGAATCACCCTGAAATACACCCCTTCTGAAAGTGACCCACCCTGTTTGGACTCTTGCTTGACCAGATGTTATGGTAAAGCGAGTTCGCCAAAGTGGTATCAGTTGTTCAATGCATCTCACTATTTTGTCGGGTTCCGCAAGGCATCTGAGCAAATGCAAGATGACCTCATGCGAAATTGTATCAAATGCCTTACGGTAATCGATCCAGGCCATAGAGAGGTTACGCTTATATTGTATCGAGTCCTGCGTTACACATCTATCGATGAGCAGGTTCTCTTCACATCCAGCGACCCCTCTTTTCAACCCCCTCTGCTCATATATCCATTCGAACACTCGGTCAACTGAGGTGAGTATGCGTGTGTATAAGATGCTTGTAAACAACTTATAACACGGATTCAAGCATGTTATCGGTCTGTAATTATTATTAATAATATTATTATAATTATAATTATTATTATCATTATTCTATCAGTGATATCAAAAATCATGGAGAAATCCTTGGAACCACCATATATTTTCTAATATATGGAAGGCTTCAACATCTTGAGCAATCATCAATGTGGCTTTCGAAAGCAGGCGACCTTTTATCGTATGTCACCCATATTTGAAATAACACAATCGAGAAACATGGAGAGTTAGGAGCTGTTGCTTTGATATTTCCCAGGCTTTCGACCGTGTGTGGCATGAGGGTTTGCTGGCCAAACTTCGATGCTATGGCTTGTCGGATCATTTTTATGTACTTATGGCTCTTCAGCTTCATGAAAAGATGATCCCTGTAAGTGGCCGTCAATAGATATTTCTCGAATACTCTTACCATCAACGCTAGTGTTCCCCAGGGATCAATATTGTCTCCAACCCTCTTTTTATGGAGAAAAACCAAGAATCCAATATATTACTTTGCTGACCACAGCACACTTGTCTTGTCATTCCATTTAGATTCCAGCATAATTCCGCTTTCTGCTTCGATAAGTTTGTTAGGGGTTAAAATAGACATGAATATGTCTAGGCCCAATCATGTCGCTGGAATTACAAAGGCGACTTCTCAATAGCAAAAAAATTGAGCTGGCCAATTCACCTCGTAGGTCATCCGTATGATTTTGCCAAGATAATTTACTATCTATGTTTATGCCTAACAATTTCACACTGTTATCACTCGATAAAGTGCTAGACAAATAAAAAGTGAGATTCTTTGTTTTCTCATTATTCAGTATTAGTTTATTTAATGAAAACCACGTTTCAGCACTTGAGAGTGAAATTTTTACAGACTGTTGCAAATCCGGCAAGGTGTCACCTGAAAAGATGAGCGTAGTATCGTCAGCAAATAAAACTGACTTATAGGGATATAAAAAATTAGGTAGATCATTGATGTAAATGATAAACGATAGTGGGCTGAGGACTGAGCCCTGGGGCACTCCATGTTTGATAGGTTTATAATTAGATGTACAGCTGTTATATGTGACACCTTGTAAAGCAATCCGCCTGATTGGAGACGCGAAAATCGCTTGCAAACTTGATAGTCTGGAACATCAAAAATAGGTTGGAGATTTGTTTCTCTTCCACAGATACTTTCACGGAAAGTGTTCAAATGACTGGGTACATTTGATTACACCAAGAGTTGTACATATCGGAAATACGCGACGGACGGAAAGTATTACGTTCGAAACACACGTTGATAAGTCAGAACAGGTTAGTACAAAACTTTTAGGTATCATTTTAGATGACACCTTCTCATGGTCAGCTCATATTGAGCAACTCTGCTAAAAACTTTCCAGCCAGTCATTTCTCCTGAGACAATTGAAAAAATGTCTTAACGGCCATGTTCTCAAATTGACATACCATTCCTTGTTTCAGTCCCACTTGAGCTATGGCATACTATTGTGGGGAAACTCTACTCAGGACGAGTTTTTCGCCTCCAAAAGAGGGCAATGAGAATTTTAGATGGTGCTTCCTTTAGAGAAACGTGCAGACCACTGTTTAGAAAATATAGGATATTGACCCTACCTTGTTTGTTTATTTATGAATCAGTCATTGAGATTCACAAAACGATAAATGAATATATGACACACTCTGATGTGCATAATTATCCAACGCGAAATGCAAATCAGTTAAAACCTCCTCGTTACAGACTTACTGTTTCATCTCGCAACTCTCTGGGCTTGAGTCTTCACAACAAACTCCATACTGATATCAAAAATTCCAATCTTTATCATTCCAAACGTGAAGTGAAAAATATCTTATTAGAGCATAGTTTCTATGAAGTGAGAGAATATTAGGAAGCACCACTTCTCACGTCTTATCAATGTATACATATTAGTATATACACTTTTTGTATGACCTGCTACAAATGTAATGTAACGTAGTCAAATAAACTTACTTACTTAAATATACTTACTGTTGTTGCTCATCGTTTTGAGGCTCAACCCAGTACACCTCGAACTTCACTGTTGAAGAACTCTTTCATTCGAAGAACTGCGTTTATGTGGAAAAGACTTCCTGAGAACATTTTTCCAAATGGACTTAATCTTCAGCGATTCAATCCAATGTAAAACAT